AAAATAGATGGGCAAAAATTTTAATTCATAACACGAGTCTACACAACATTCTAATGCTTCAAAATAATTCAAGAAGGAAACCATGCAATTTTATGGAGAAAATTGCAATTTTAGTCCAGTAACTTAGGTTGTTTCCCACTTTAGTCCAGTAACTTGGGCCGATCCAAAATTGGTCCAAAAACTTCCAAAATGTAATTAAATTAGTCCAATTCCGGTCCCCGTCGCCGGAATCCGAATTGCCAACTCAGCACATTCCGATCGGATTCTGGCGATGGGGACCGGAATTGGACTAATTTAACAACATTTTAGAAGTTTTTGGACCAATTTTGGATCGGTCCAAGTTACTAGACTAAAATTGCAATTTTCTCCAATTTTATGTCTAAAATATGAGAGAGAAAATTTGGCATGTAAATTGTGTATCCAAAATTTTCAATCAGACAAAAATTTACTAGGTTTTGAAACACAAGTTTCAAAATATGGATTAAGATTTTTTCGTGAGCACTAGACGAAACAAATGAAAGAACAATACTATCCTTATATCATCAAAATAGTAGGAAAGTCACGGATCATTTCACTTAGAGACGACCATGAATAAATGAAAATCTACCCTATTACTTCATGATACACTTTCTCCCCTAATTTTTCAATTCTTTTAATTTTCTTTTTAGTTTTTCTCACATTTTTTTTAAGTACTGAATAGAATGTACAACCAACCTTATTACTCCAACATGTAAAAATATTAATATTCTTTTTATTTTTTCTTGCTTCTCAGTTATTCAAAATATGCCAATTCAAAAGTTATATAGAATTAAACAAAGAAAGCAGATATTTGAATTATACCAATTCAAAATGATAACAAGTTTAGTGAAGCCAAAAATTATTAGCCTAGTGTACATGTGACTCTTGCATAGCAAGGTGGTTTAGCATCTATTTTATATGGGTTCAAATATACAACCCATGAATATGGGCTTAAATTGGCCCATACATTTGGCACTTTCAGGCCCTATTGCAGCACTCAAGGTATTAGGTAGATTAAATCAATTCTAAAAGTTTTTGCATAGATTTCTGCAGCAAAAAGTCACTATATTTTTTTTTTTCCTGTTACAGCCGTTATTTTTGAAAATTTTTGCTTGAGCTAAAAGTACTCTGAAAATGGTATAATGTCAATTCCATTAAGTTTTGCAAGTAATTCACGTACAAATTACAAAGTTACACAATAAAAGTATTTAAAATGATAATAAATTGTATACAAATTTATTAATCTATACAAGTCCGTAGTACGTTGTTATATTATTAAATTTAATTCTTAAAAATTCACATGTGTTTTTTTTTAAATTACCATTAATAGTAAATCAAACTTTTATTTTTTAATCAAACTTACAATAAAAGTATTTTTCCAACAATTTTTTTATATTACTATATAGATTTTGTTCACTTCAAGATTATGTCACATAAATCTTTTAAAATCTCCTGTTTATTGTTACAAATTTAGTTGCTATGATCAACATGGAAATTAAAAAATATACTCCAAGATAAAGATGGTTAGTTTATAGAGATTCTAGTTTGCAAATAAAATAAAATAACAAAAGGAAGAAAAGGGATGCATAGAAATTACAAAATAACAAATATAAAGAATGCTAAAATAACTTTCATGTGAGGCAATCTCCCATCACATAAAGGCCACAACAGAAACGGACAGCATCTCACCACTATATTTAATTTCATTTATGTACAGAGCACCGATTGCTCTTTTGGTGGATAGCAACTGTTAAATATATGCTATTAAAACCATATAATAAAAATTACTTTAGCACCTTTTATTATATTTATTATTCATGTTCTTGAAATTCCTTTCGCATCACAATTTATATAAATCGCGTTGAATTTTATGTGCCATAAGAATTTGTTCAACCGCGTTGAAATTCCTTTAGAACACACACTTGTCTAGTTGTCTTGAAATAAATGAAATCAAAAAATCTTTTTCTGAAGTATATAGTGTACACCTTGAAATTGGAACACTTTTTTTTCTTTTTAACAAATCCACTAAAAGGTATTAGACAAATCTATCCACCATAACTTTTTTAGCTTACAGATTATGTTGTTAATATTAATTTCTTATAATTACCAAAAATCTTTCTCATGGTTAGCTGAATATATCCATCATAATTTTTCAACAAATATATATACTTACATTATTTAATTTATATTATTTTTAAAGATTAACATCTCAATATGAACATGTATAAATCAATTAAAGGAAGGATAATTATTTAACAGTTACCTCAAAAACATATGGAAAGAAGTATAATTGTTTAGTAGTTACTCTAAAATCATATCAGTTTAACAGTCCTGTTTTTAACACTAACTAGTATTGACCCGTGCGATGCACGGTTGGTATATTTTCCTGAAACTTTTAAATATTAACATTAAATTTAATGCACTTTGTAGTTATGTAATAAATGTAAAATAGAGAAAAACAAATTAAAAACTTCATAAATTAGTAAACACTTCTTTGTACACAACGTTTTGGGTCTGATTTGGCGACACGTCATCGTCATTACAGACTAATATTTTCAAATTAATTCGATTTGTGACGCGGGAGGCAGCAACATATAATTGACCATGACTGAACACCGGCTTCTTAAGGAATAAACCAACATACGATAACGACTGTCATTGGCTCTTGTTGATAGTCATGGCATAAGAAACCATAAGAGGAAATTGTCGTCTCTGAAATTTGAAAGAAATTCTGACATCGGAAGGAGTAATAGCCATTCTAGGAATCAATAGCTTCTCGCCTTCGTGATCCTCAGTGAGTATCTTACACTCACGAATATGAGCGGATAGTTTTGTCACAACCAACCGTGTCCCATTACATAAACCCATAGAATGATCCATATTTCGCAACAACATGACGGGAGTTCCAATCTTCAAATGCAACTGATGATTTGGAATTCCAGAACATTTGATACTATTCAAGAACTCAGGCGTATAGATATCAGAAAGAAAATCATTATTATCATCCGACTTGCAAATACTGTCGGAACTTAAGTATGTATTACCTTCTGATAAATTCAATGACGTCATGTATTCATTGACGGACTCAACAACATCCAGCATCGGTGCTAATATTGCCATGTCCTTCAAATAACTGGGATCATTGGTCGTCTGCTCAAACATTGGATATGTGCTCTCTATAATTTGAGCAATCGGATCATCAGATAGTTTAAGAAATATATCCTCAGGTACGTCGATCATTGTGCAACCATCGTTTGACCCTCCTATAGTTTCATCCCCAATGCTCGCAATCCATTCAGCAAACCGAGCAACCTCTTCACGTTCCTCAGAATCTTTAAGGCTCTAAAGACGCATGTTTTTTGTAAGCCTGAGCACAGTACAACTCCTCCAGATGTCAGAAGCATTAATCGCAGCATTCACTAAGTCCTGACGGCTACCCTTGGGAATTACAGGAAGAATTTGCCAGAAATCTCCCCCAAAAACAACCGATTTGCCTCCAAATGGTTTTTCCTTGTTAGCAGGATCAATTGCCCCCACAATATCTTGCAACGATGTCTGAACAGCTTCGAAGCAATGCTTGTGCATCATTGGAGCCTCATCCCAGATTATCAAAGAAGAACGTCTTATCAATTCCGCGAGAGGGCTTCCCTGATTGATATTGCAAAAAGAGTCCTAGTGAGGATTCAATGGTATGCCAAATCGAGAATGAGCAGTTCGTCCACCAGGCAACAAAAGTGATGCTATTCCGCTCGATGCGACACACAACACTATATCACCTTTGGATCTCAGCCCAGCAGATAACGTTCTCCATAAATACGTTTTTCCCGTTCCACCTTTAATTTCTTTTAATTACCAAAAATATTTCTCATGGTTAGCCGAATATATCCATCATAATTTTTCAACAATTATATATACTTACATTATTTAATTTATATTATTTTTAAAGATTAACATCTCAATATGAACACGTATAAATCAATTAAAGGAAGGATAATTATTTAACAGTTACCTCAAAAACATATGCAAAGAAGTATAATTGTTTAGTAGTTACTCTAAAATCATATCAGTTTAACGTATATATATAATTACTGGCTAATCCATTTAATAAAACATTTAATAAAATCTCATTTCGATTTCCCGCCAAAAACCGTTACGAACTTTATCATTTATATATATCTCTCTCTATATTTAATTACTAACAGTAAATTTAATAATATTAATTGTTATTTAGCATCTTTTTATGTTACAATCTTCTATTATTATTATTATTATTATTATTATTATTATTATTATTATTATTATTATTATTATTATTATTATTATTAAATAATCCATCATATCTAATTAATAGTAAAATATTTCATTGCACTTTTTTATGGTCAATTAAGACAAAAATCGTTACATTTTATATTAACTGAGTAATAATTATACTATTTTATTGTATCATATATTTTTTATTATTAAAGCTAATAACTATAGTTTACGCTAAATGATACATGAAAGTTACATAAATATACAAAATTATTGTAAACTTTTTGGTAAATTATTTATTCTAAAATTAATATTATATTTTTTTATCTTATTTCGCGATTGTATTTTTAAATAATTTACTTTATTTTAATGTTATAGAAAAATTCCTTAAAATCATATAATTAAATGTTATAATAAATTTAATATTTTTAGGCTAATAAATTGGCGATTTCTCAAAATTACATTATTTATTATATTTTAAGTAATTAACATAGTGGTTCATATGCGATCAAATAGTTATGTACTATTTATTTTAACCAATGATCAAATTTTAAAACATAATATCATTATCTAATTTATAATTTTATTATTATATGCATAAATATAACTTATAATACTCTATGTTGAAAATATAATATCATTGTATAACTTATAATTTTAATACTATATCTATAAATATAACTTATAATATTCTATTTACCTTGTACAAATGTATAGGGTCAAATACTAGNTTTTTTTCTTCAACAGATCAAAGAGTTGGATACTATACTTCACTAATCTCACCTTCCCTGCATACACCCACATCTATCACCATATTTTTCTTGTTCAAGCTTAGAACCCGGCAACAATTTCTTCTCGGTGACTGCCCAAAACAAAATAAGAAAAAATCAATCAAATAAGTTTCCATAAACTTTAAATTGCGCATGAAACAACTAAATTCTTTATCACATAAGAAATAAATATTACAGGATTATTACAAACAAGCTTTGAGGTTAATTTAATCACAAATTCTTGTGTGCGAACAGCCTAACCATTAGACCGGGTGGGCGGCGTGGGCCTAATGTTGAAATTTTATTACAAATACACCCCTTAAGGAAAAATTCCCCATACTTGAAGTGCGAATTCAAGAATATAAACAAGATAGAAGAATAGTTAGTCATTTCAATTTTTAAAAGATTACTAGAATGGTTAGAAGAATTGTTTCTAACCAGGCCAAAGTCCATTGACAAGTTATAGGATAAATTATAATTAAAAGGTCAGACATTATACTAGAATGAAGTATTTACTAGCTGTCAATCAAATAATTTTCAGCAAGGTTGTCGGTGTGAGGACCCTCAATAATGCAAACTCACAGACAAAAAATTGACCTTTGGCTAAAAAAAAACTTCCATTGAGTTTGGTACCTCACCACAGTCGGCACACATAATACTTTATTAATTTTAGAGAAATTTGCAAAAACAACACATTTTATCTCAAAATGTCGCATTTTGTCAAATCCCCACCAAAATAATATTCTTATTCCCACGAAAATTGGCAATTTTATTTCAACAAGAATCACACAACAATACAAATCGCACAAGGAAACAATAAAATTTTTTACTTACCCTATCCCACAGTTCCGGGTCAGGCTTCTTGTAAACCTTGACCCGCTCCACCACATTCGGGTCGACCGTCTTCCACTTACAAAGTGGATGCGGGACCCGATGACGAATATACTCACTCACCGTCCTGTTTGTGCCCGATTCCATTTTTGCCCCCGACATGTAGAAAACAAACGGCTTCTGGCATGGGTTCCTCATAACCGGCCTCGTGTTGAAAGCATACGCCGTGTAATCTGCCCGCCTGTACCAGTTCAAGAATGTTCTAGAAGGCATCTCCATCTCACGGGGGGACAAAACCCCCCGGAATATCTGGACTGCAAAACCCCACGAGACGGATATAGTCCACTCGTTGTTCTTGTCGTAGCATATGGACTGCTGCATTAGGCCCGCCGAGTCGAGGCCCATTGGGATTTTGAGGCGGTTGAGGGCCTGCAAACGGGTTACGTTTGGGAAAATGGGCTCGACAACATCGAGGTGGTGAAGGGATACTAAAGGGGTAACTGGGTGGGCCGCGAGGAGGCCGAATAAGTTGCCGTAAACATCGTACTGCAAAATTTCAATACACCAATTTTATTTTAATTTTTTTATTTTTTTTTTATTTTTTTTAGATTTCAATCACCACTTTTACAGTGCATCAACACCAACTATAATACCAACCACGGTCCACTCAAGACTTTTTCCCCACCCCACATTATTAACACTAATGAAAATAAATGATCTTGACATCTTGTTTTTTAGTTGAGGTTCATGGGTCATTAATATTATAGGAGACAATGATATTAAGATGCTACTATAATGTTACCTAGTAGTTGAGTGAGACCAGAAAAAAATGAGTAAATAGTTGGCCCACATATCAATAAACTCATTTGAATTTGTGAGATGGACATCAATGGAATCCACCCAAACCTCATCGGATTCTGGGGGTTTTTTACTTTTGCAGAACTGTTGCGAAAAAGTCTACTAATTTTGAAGACCAACACTTGGGAACCCGTGACCTACGCACTAATTGCCCAAGTTTTCCAAAACAAAACCCATGAAGCTCAAATTTTTAAACCGCCTACGGTTTTGCTAAAACTACTGCTACTCCTAAAGTTCTTTTCTACTAATTCTTCTAGCTGAGAAGATTAAAGTTAACCGCATGAACGGAAGGTAAAATAACAAGATTTAACAGAAAAAATAAACAAAAGATCTAACAGAATCATTCATAGCTCTACCTAACAAGTCACATTGGGCAAAAACCACCAGAAAAACAGCAAATTCAAAACAGAACCCAGATAGATAGGTTTTATAAGATATTAAAAACAAAAGCAAGAAATAAGAAAAACACACACTCAGTCCACATTCTCTCACCTGGTGAAAACCGAGTTCCTTGGTGAGTGGCACACCGAGTTCGGCCATACAAGCCTGCATCCGGTCATCCGAGCCGTAGAGGCCAGGGTACCTCTGTATACACCTGTCCTGCATCCTCTCGAGCGCCTTAGCCAGCGGGTAGCTTATCGCAAAACCCCCACCACCATATGCCATCCCGTATGAAAAGTATATGTTCTGCAGATGGCTCTCGCTCAAGCTCCCTATGTAATAATACTGCGTGTGGTCGTACTTATTCAAGATTCTAACCAAATTGTCGGTCACAAACACGGTATCATCATCCCCCATCACGAACCACCGCACATTGTCCAAATCGCCCAGCCGCAGGGTCTCGGAGACGATCCTCGATATGCGGATGGCCGACCGGTGACCCTGCTTGTTCTTGTACGCGAATCGCTTGGTGTCGGCCGAGATTCTCAGCTCAGGCAAGGTCGAGCTCTCGTTCCTGTAGGTCTTGACGGGGCTGTCGAGCCAGACGGTACCCCGCATTTTCTTCTCCGGCTGCCACCATAGCTTGATGTACTCCTTCCGCTTGCTCCACAGCTTCGCGGAGGCGGCTATGCCGAACACGATGTGCTCTAGACCAGTTCTGTCTGGCGATTCGTGCTGGATTAAGGAATTGTGAGGCTGGGGATCTGCTTGGACGTTCACGGAGGACGACGAAACGGTGTCGTTCAGCAGCTGGTCGGTGATGTGGACCGATTTCTGGTGGTGGGTGAAAGGACTGATGTTGTCTTCGGCGCAGGAGGAGTGGGAGGAGGAGACCAGCTTCAGCGTGTAGACCACGTAGGTGGCCGAGACGAAGAGGATGAGCCACACCATTAGCCTCGGCAGGGCTTTAGCTTGGGTGGCCGCCATGGATGCCCCAGAGGGGCTCTTCATCGAGTCCCACAGGAACTTCTCAGGATTATTCTGGGCGAATTTCATTTTTATTTCTCAATCAGCTCGCAATTCCCAGATTTGGGGGCCGGAAATTGAGGGAAAAAGATGAGAAATGATTGAATCTCACACTCTGTAAGCACAAAATCTTCCCCCTCTCTAAGCAGCTGTTTGTGGGATAGAAAATAATTACAGATCTAGTCTGGGTTGAAAATATGGGTAAAAAAAGGTTAAAGAAATGAATGAGGATGAGAATGAAGATGAAGGGAAAAGCAAGAGCATGCACTGGTGACAGGTTGCAGAGACTCTCTCTCTCCCCCTCTCTCTCTGCACAGACTTTCCCCCTCTCTCTCTGTACAGACCTGCCAGCCCCGGCCCAACACACACCACTCTTCACATTTATTAATTGTTTTTCGGCACCTTAAACGATGTCTGAGAGGAAAAATTAAAAATCTCCAAATAATGCTTCTTAAAATATAATAATTGAGATGGTGTCTCAATGTAGACGTAGATACGCACAGAGGATTGTATGTATAGACAGGGGATGGAGGTGGATGGAGGTAGATAGATCTATCTGTATAAGATTACACTCCCATCAAATTTGCAGAGATTTTCTTTTTCTTCTTTTGCCTTTTTTCGCCCAAGATATATATATTAATGGGAAATGCGAAAAGCGTGTGTAAGTGAGGCGATATAAGGGGCGGTAGGCAACTGAGCGCGATTTTATTCAAGTAACAGTGATCCTGTGAGCCAAAGGGTCGGCTGGAAATTTGGGTTTGTTCAGCTAACCTTTAATGGGACGAATTTTCTGTATCAAAATTGTTTTTATAACAGGGTAGAAATTAATTTTGGGGTTTGTATTTATAATATTTGTTTTTGCCAGGTTTAGGTTTAGCTATTTCAAAGATAAGATTTTCTTTTTTGCGTAGTATTAATAAATTGGAGATAATAATCATTTTTCATGGAGAACATTTAATAGTATTTTCTTGATAGCATTACCAAAATCAATTATCTACATCTTGACAATACATTATTTGTCAATTGTTATATCAATCATTACTAAATTAAATTCATCCGGGGAAGAGTCATGTTACAAAATCAACTTCATATGCCAACTACACATTAGTCTTTTTATTATATTATTTTCAAAATCAACTATCAAGGTAAAATTAATTATATGGCTTAATTTTAATACATGACCTATACTTTTTATAGGATTGTACCTTTTTTTAAGTAAAATTTATTTTTATTTCAAAGTATAATTATATTAAAAAACTCAAAAAAAGTACACTCAAAATATTAAATGAAACCAGTAGTGTCAGAACAAAATCTAGATTAACCCCTTGGAATTGTTCAAACGACCAAAAGTGTACAAATACTCACAAAACAAAAAAACTCCATAAAAAAGATTCAAGCTGAACTGTAAACGAAAAACTAGAAGAAAAGCACAAATAAACTACAACACAAGCCTAAAAAATAACTCTTAACCTCCCCAACAAAAACAATAACCAAACACAGTCCCAAAAGAAGACAATGCCAAATCCCCCTTGAAACTCCAAACTCCATTAAACATTAGGCTATGACTTACCCGACCCAAACCGACTAACCTGAAACCTCCTTCCAAACGGACTATTTTATATAATGTATCTATTAAAACACAGTGATTACCCACCTACTTTCTACTGTAAATTGTAATGCAATTCAGTTCCCAAACTGTAAATTCTATATAAGACCATTTTTCTTTGACAAGATGAATAGAAAAAATGGTTACTTACGGTTAGTTGGTAAGTATGTACATCTCATCTACTAAATAGATAGTGGTGACGAGAAATTGAAAGAATAAAAAGACTAATTAATCTATCTATCTATATATATATGTATAATTACTAGCTTAGCAGTAAATATTACTTAATAAATAAAATCTGATAAATTTTATCTATGTGGCAGATCATTAAATAAAACCTAATAAATAGAACCTAGTAAATTTTACCTTTGTGACATTTAATATACTCTATCTCATTAATAGTAAAATATTTTATTACACATTTTTGGGTTAATTAAGACATAAACTATTATATTTTATGTTAATTAAGTAATAATTATATTTTTATAGAGTCATGTAATAGTTAATATTAAAATTAATAGTTATATTTTACACTATATTATATATGAAACTTACATAAAATTATATTTTACACTAAAATCAATATTATATTTTTTATATGATTAAGCGATTGTTTTTTAATAAGTTAATTTTTTTATGTCATAGTAAATTTTTCAAAATCACATAAGCAATCGTTATAATAAATTTAATATTTTTTAGCTAATTAACTGGTCATCAAAATTATAAAAATTATATATTTATTACATTTTATGCAATGAATATAGTGATTCGTATGCAATCAAATCGTATGTACTATTTACTTTAACCAATGATCAAATTTTAAAATATAATACTCATATCTAACTTATAATTTTGATATTATATGCATAAATATAACTTATAATACTATATGTTTGAAATATAATATTATACATACAAATAACTTATAATATTTAATTTTACTTATATTTTTGCAAATACACAGAGTCGAATACTAGTTTCTTATAACACGGGGGACCAGCCAAACAAGAAGTGCAGTAAACATGACATCAGATCAGAGCTAATTTGACATAATTATGAATGATTAATTGGGGAATATTGTGAGTAAATTTTACTTTGTGCTACTCATTGTGAGCTGTGGATTCTTAAGTAATGTGAACGTTAGTAAGGCAATGAAGAAAAGGAAAGAGTCCCATTGAAGTTAATTAATGTGAATTAGTGATAATCACGTGTTATTATTTAAGGAATATATTACGTATATGTAATACCATCCCAGGTTGATTTCTTTGAAATTGATACAATGTTGTATGCCAAAAAGAATTTGTTTTCAAATGATCTATTAAAAAAGAAGTATAGGTCATAGGGCATACAAAACGAACCTTTTAAATATATTATTGACTATTGTTCTTAAGTCTTAACATAATAACATGAATTGCATATAATTAAGAGATGGTAACAAAGACTATATTTTCTATTTTTGTACTTTTCTAAGAATGAAGTATATATAAGATGTTTGATTTTCTTTTCTTATACGCATTGTTTTTGTATTGGCTTAAATCTGATGATCATTGTATCTAACTCAGGGTCACCTACTAGGACCGCTTTATTTTTCCGTTACTTCATATGAATTTTTAAGACTGATTTTGTCAAATTTCATAGGCAAATCATTGGAATTTTCGATGCATATATTGAAATGTTTTTTAGAAAAGGTATGTTATATTAGCAGATATCAAACTTGATATTGATATGTTAATTTGTTAAAAAAACAAAAAAGGACAAAATATACATTAATTGCAAGGGCTAAGATAAAATTCGTCGTTTTCTTTCTTATTTAATTCTTGCGTTGTCTGGCGTTTGTTTCAAGTGGGTGCCATTGTTGGATTTTATCGTGGAGATAGTCATACCAACATTATCAGCTAGGAATTTCGATTTGTAATCATTTGGTTACACGTGTGTCATGTACATTCTGCTTTGACTCAGTACCGTCTTTTGGGATTTTAATCCTCCGTTCTTCGCCAGTAACCATCATGTGTAAGTTTTTCTTCTTTTCTTGTCTTTATTTAATTTTCGTGTTTGGTTTGATCTTGCTTACCTGCGAAATACCTCATCCGCCCCTCCTCCGATAGGCTAGTCTCGCGCCGCTTTTTGCCGCCTTCTTCCGACCCCTCAATTTATTTTTTTTATTTTTCTTTCCATTTTTTAGATTCCTAACTTCCAGCGAGGGTGACCACCACTCTGGTTGCGATATGAGTCTTCCATCCTTATTTAAATACTTTGTATCAATAAATTCAAATGGTGAATTGGGTGAACCCAATATTGCAACTCTTGCTAAAGAAGCCAAAATATAATATTTTGAAATGGTGTAATTGGAATTTGAAAGGTGACATTTAAAATTTGATTTTGGAAAATGTGTATATTAAAAAAACGAATTATAAAAATGCGCTTCTGGAAAAGTGATTTGATGCACAATAAAGTTTAATATCTTGTAAGGTATCTATCACGAAGTCCTTATTTAAAAGCTTCTCCAACGCTGTTTCAGACTGGTGCAAAACACTGGAGTAGCGTGAAAATTGTTCTCCAAGGCAGCGGTAGATATCTGCACTATATTAGATATATAAACAGTGTAGCGCCAGATCTAGCGTAGCACTGTAGCAATGCGCCACAATTTTTTTTTTTTTTGTATTTTAATGTAATATTAATAATAATTTTTTGTGTAATGTGTATTAATAAATGTATTTTTGTGCTACGTAACTTTGTGCAATGTATTTTTTATGCTAAATAATTTTGTGCTTTTTATTTATTGATGTATTATAATTTTATTTTATAATTTTTTAATATTAAAACGGTACCATATGAATAAAAATTTAACACAATCAAACAAGTAGATTTCATTAAATTTAAAAGTTTACAACAAACGTAAATCATAATATACACAAATTTATACCAATTTATTTGAAATAAAAATAAATAAAATATATTTTTATTATTTGGATAATAAACATTTATATAAGATCAAATATACATATATATATATCAATTTATTTAAAATAAAAATGAATAAAAAAATAATATATTTGATGTAGAGTAAAATGTAGAGATAACGGCTGGAGACGAATGTTTCACCCTACTGTAGAGTAGAGTAAAGTCCGCGCTAGAGTAGAGATAAGGACTGAAGATGACCTAAGTGATGAAAGCCAAACACAAATGTATTATTTCTGCTTAGTAATGCTAAGGAGCATCTATCGTTTCGAGAAAAAAAAAAAAATGCTAAGGAGCAATAGGACAGCTCCATGTAGAGCTGTCCCACATGGCTCCAATGTGGGACAGTCCCACATGGAACTGTCCCATTGACTGTTGGCTTCGTAACAGTTGACTCTTTAGCATTACTGTCTTTTTGCTTTCCAAGATAACAATACATAAATTTGCTATTTAATTGTTATTATTCTTATGTCTATTGTATCCTAGAGTCAATTTCACAAAAACTTGTAAGAGCGAATAACATTTCGAAAAAGTTGATTATCATATCCTAATTCCTAAACTTGGTTAAAAAAAATATTAGGTGCGAATAACACTTCAAAAAAATTGACACTCGTGGCCTATTAGTTATTAACTTATCATACACTTTGATCCGTATTATATTTTTCACAACATGGCTTATTTCACAAAGAAGTGTCCAATAGTTGACAAATTCTTGGTGGGTCGGATAGTCTGATAATATCAAGATCACAAGAGTGTCGGCAAACACTTTATTATTATTTATTTATTTTTTCTCGCTTTTGGCTGGATTCATTTATTTCATCGTACTAGAAAGCAACGTAGATGAGAATAAAAATATTATACTACCATTTAAAATAAAATAATAAAATTGAAGTCACTGTGTGTGAGAATGAAAACACTTAGAAATCTGTGGTCGAAATAAATGATAGAATGATAAAAACCAAAGACTACCCTTGAAAAATGGTCACTAATAAGTTTTAATATTGTTATAATTCATAGAATTCATGTAAAAATTTGACCTTGCAAGTTAAAAATAACTCTTCCCGTTCCCATTAATGAGTGAGCAAAACCAAATCAAGTATAGGGTAGTTCAGTTTCAGGTGCGGTTTGATCTTCCAAAACACCACAGAAATCGCAGTACGGTTAGATTTTGTGTTTAAGGCCATAGCTAGGTTTTAACATCAAATTTATCTTCATCAATAAGCACGGGCAACCATATCGCGCCACCTGAACATTAAAGAATCTAGTTAAAATTGCTTAAACACTTGCCTAATTAATAAAGAAAATTAAGAAACCAGTGTTAAATATTTAATATCAGAACGTATTATATGATTCAAGAATTATCTCCCCTATAATATCAGCTTTTGGCCGGCTACTTATCATGTTGCCCCAAAACTGTAAATTTCGGTGTCGGTGAGGCGGATCTGAAAAAGTTTGTTTTTCGTATCATTATATCGCATTAATGATCGTCACTGTAAAATGATTATTACTCTGAATAACGATATTTCTCCTAAAATTATAATATAAAACAATTTAATATTATCAATATAATTAAATATATATTACCAAACAATTATTATTACACATCACATCAAGTTTTACTCTGTCTTCATTCACTCACATAATTTTAACTAACTATCACTTCACACCATATCTCTTATATTTTACATCAAATAAACTTTCATTATTTTATTTTAAATATTATTTTAATATAAAATCAAAATTCTGCTAACCAGTCGTACCAACTTTTTCAAAATTAACTCTGGTTAAAAAAAATATATATTTTGAACGAATATATTTATATTCAAACACGCTTAGTGAAACATTACCTATTTTCTTAAAGAAATCTATTATTGTTTTTCTAGCGAACAAAAAGTTGTGTAAGAAACAGAGGAATAACGGGTAGGTCATCGCATGTCCCAATAGAACCGACTCTGATACCATGTAAGAAACGTGGGAAAACGGGTGCGGTCCCACCAGTCCCCAATAGAAGTAACTCTTATACCATGTAAGAAACGGAAGGAACGGGTGCGGTCCCACGCACGTGAAGCGCACCATAAGCAGGGAAAATCCATATGAAGCCCAAGTGGAATTTCATCCCAAAACCAAATAGTGGAAGGAGAAGTAGTCAATTATACTTATAAATTAAGCCTATTTTCCCTATATAAACAATGTGGGACAACTCACAAGTGAATATTCTAATACGCCCCCTCAATTGTAAGACCTATTTTCCCCATATACCCGTTTATGGGAGCCTGTTTCTAGTAGGGCTTGGGCACCCAGCTCCGTATATGGGCTTGGACTTTCTTATTAAAAATTCACAAGTGAGAGGGCGTATTATAATATTCACTTGTGAATTGTCCCACATCTTTTATATTGAAAAAATAAGCTCAATTTATAAGTCTAATAGACATCATCTTTTCGGTAAAATGATTCAGTTGTTTTGCGTAGAATTTCAAGTAGATGCTCAGTAGTTTTATATGGATGTTGATGTTGATTATTTTTAACCCATAATTTTAGTTACCGATTATTGTTCATTTGTTTACAATTAAATATCTATTTAATTGTGAAATATACTTCATATTCTTGATGCGAAATAGGCCATATTTCGACATAGGCCACTTGGTACTCGGTGCTTAGCCGTGCAGTCGGGCTTGAGAAACATGGGCTTGTTGTTTAAGCCCATTGGTGCTTAGCCGTGCAGTGGGGCTTGAGTAACATGGGCTTGTTGTTTAAGCCCATTGTAATATATGTTAGGCTTTTGTAATTTGGAGCATCTACTGAATTTAAAATGTTGTTAGTTTGTTAGTCACTCAAACATTACTTTGTCAAAAACCTCACATAAATTTTCATATATTCACTAACATCTGTTCTCTTCATTCAAAAATAAATGACATCTCAATATATGGATCTAAAATAATTGAATTATATAAAAAGAATAATAAATATATATTTAAATATACAATTTAGGAAGTTTTGATATATGTGTTTATGAAAAACATAAAATTTTTGTAGAACTTGAATATATTTTGATCAAACGATTTTGCGGATACAATCTCTATATGTCTCTTCTTGTTGCTTTCTTCTTGGATTTGGACTTGGGATCTTCAAAGTTGGATTTCGACTTGAATAATGTTGACTCGAGGGTTTGAAAGATTTTTCTCAAATCAAAACGATATATTTTTTGAATTTTTCAACAAACGTGGCTTGAATGTCGTTTAAACGTCATTCATATTCTTGGATTGATTTGAGAGGATTAGATATGCATCTTTATTTATTAGAGAATAGCCTTCACATCTGAAAACTATCTCTTTTTTTTTTTCTTGGCCTTCTTCTCCATTGAGCGTACTTCGGCGGCTTGGAGGTTGATGCTGGACTGAACATCGATCTCCAACCTGAATATCCTTGGATCTTCAAGAACGATTTCAATCTTCAAGAGAGTTTTTGAGAGCTCTTAAACTTGAGACTTTGATTTATGTGATATGCCTTTTGGCTTTGGGAGGGTCTCTATTTATAAGTGTAGGAGAGAGAGTTTTGGAGAAAAATACATCAATTTGAATGGTCCTTCGCAATTTGATATAAATCTCTTTTTTTATTCTAGAATTTGACTTGGTGGAAAAAACATAATTACTTTATTAATTATAGGTCTTACTTATCTTGAATTTTTGTTAAAAATAAATAAATAAATATATTATTTTACAAAATATTAAAATTATGATGTCTACAAGCCCCCTTGAGATCTGTTCACAGACTAAATATTTTGGTAGTGAATGAGTATCAAAGTTTTGAATTTAGTTGAGGCATGTAGATAGTTTAAACTCTTATCTACAAGTTGTTCAACTTGGGCTGATAGATAGTTTAGTCATGTATCAAGCCGTTTCTTTATTTGACTTGATTTGTAGATAGTTTATACTCGTATCAAAGAGTTTTTCATTTCACTTGATTTGTAGATAGTTTATACTCGCATCAAGAATCTTGATTTAATTTGACATATAGTTTATACTCGTATCAAGATGTTCTGAATTTGATTTATAGAAATTTTTATACTCCTGCCAAGGAGTTTCCAAATTTGTAGATAGTTTATACTCATATCAAGGAGCTTTTATATTTGACTTGTAGACCTTTTATTCTCATGTCAAGAAGCCTTCGAATTTATAGACATATAATGCTCGTGTAAAGTCGCTTTATAGATTGTTTAGTCTCGTATCAAGGAGCACCATAGATAGTTTAGGCTCATATTAAGTAGCACTTTATATAGTTTATTCTCGTATGAAGGAACATTATAGATAGTTTAAGCTCGTATCAAAGAGCATTTGAGATGGAGTTTTGGATAGTTTTTGCCTATATCGAAGTTTTATAGATAGTTTAGGCTCATATCAAGGAGCATTTGAATTGAAGTTCTAGATAGTTTTTGGCCATATCGAGGATCTATATAGAAAGTTTAGGATCATATCAAGGAGTATCTGAATTTCAGGACTTGGATAGTTTTTGTTCATATCGATGAGCTTTATTGATAGTTTATCCTTGTATCAACGAGTATTATAGATAGTTTAGGCTCATGTCAAGGAGCATTACAGATAGTTTAGGCTTTTATCAAGAAGCGTTATAGATAGTTTAAACTTTTATCGAGGAATGTTGATGATTTGATTTTTTGAAAGTGCTTCACATAAATTTCTCCCATGGAATTTGATTTGAGAAAAACATGTAGAGACGCTTTTATCTTCAATTGCTCCCAAAGATCTTGAAACTTGATTTGAAGAGAATAGGTGAAAGATAGAGATTGTCCCACCGGACGTGCCAAATTTATAACAATAAATTTTATGAAAAACATAAAAGTTCTGTAGAACTTGAATATATGCAATCTCTATATGTCTCCTCTGATAGTTCTCTTCTTTGATTTGGACTTGGGATCTTGAAAGTTGGAATGTTGACTCGAGAGCTTGAAAGCTTTTTTCTCGAATCAAACGCTATATTGTTTGAATTTTTCACCGAACGTGGCTTGATTGTCGTTTCAACGTCGTTCATATTTTGGATTGATTTGAGAGGATTGGATTTCTCATTTTTATCTATTGGTGATGAACCGTCACCTATCTTTTTCTTCTTCTCGGCTTTCTTCTTCATTGAATGTACTTCGGAGGCTGGGAGGTTTGATTTAGGATTGAATGTCGATCTTCAACTTGAGTATCCTTGGATCTTCAAGAATGTCTTGAAATATTCAAGAGAGTTCTTGAGAGCTTTTGAACTTGAAACTTTGATTTGTGTGGTGTGTTCTTTGGCTTTGAGAGAGCCCCTATTTAAAGGTGTAGCAGAGAGAGCCTTGAAAAATAGGACATCAATTTGATTGGTATTTGATATAATCTCTTTCCTTATCTTGGAATTTGACTTGGTGCCTAGTGGGTAATAAATAATTAATTTATTAAATATTTATCCTTTTTATCTTGGATTTATATTCAAATATTTAATTAATAAAATATTAAATTTTTGATGTTTACAGCATGATATTTGTAACAAAAGGCGATCCATTTTCTTGAAAGTTATCGTGTTTTCTTTACTTAATATGTTGTCGCTTTAAATCCCATTTTTGCATTTGTTTAACCAACGCAGAAAGAACTTTTTGTATTTTCAAATTATGCCACCTTTATGACTTGCTAAATTATCTTTAACCATGTTAGAAATAAGAATGAGTTCAAATGAGAATGAGACATATTGAAAGAAATAAGAATAGTTATGTACAATTGGATCCATCATATCAATAGTCATGATGAAATCAAAATTTAGTAAAGAATTGTCAAATACATGATGACAATCTCGTAAATAAGTGTACATGTTATGGTCAAATGTATGCGTTTGTCCACTCGTTAAGGGTAATCTGGTCATTTGACATAATTCTAACTCACCCCCACCCACTTTAGTGGGTCCCACCCCAACCCACCTACCTTACTCTCTCTCTCTCTCACGCACACACACAAACACATGCACAAAAATCACACTCCTTATTCATGCACACACAAAGTACACACACACAAACACACAAAATCACAAACACTGGCACCCGCCGCCACTAGCCCATCGTCGACGTCTCTGTGAGAAACTCGATCTTTGCATCATTCAAATACCAGAATATGTCGACGACGATCTACTACGAGGAGCCATGATCTGGGAGGCCTGGGGGCCGCAGGGGAGGGTGATGATACCGCAGCCGATGAGGATGAACATCACAATAAATGTAATGACGGACAGAGTGCTGTCGCAGCCGGATCTTGCATCGGACCTCGAGTCAGGCGTGGTGACTATGAGATATCATCTCGATTGTGGTACCTACACAAACATATCATCTCAACTTTACATTGATACTAGAAAAGTTCAGTCACAAAAGAGTAATCGTTCTTCAATATCAACAATCCAATTATTAATAGAGATAGAAAAATCGTCTCTATTAGTATCCCTAACTAAAAAAGTACCATCTGTGATGCAATTCTGAATGTCTTTGTTGTTAAATAAATTGGTGACACTATTGTAACTAGAATTTTCATAACTTAAAAAGTATCATCTGTGATGCAATTCTGAATGTCTTTATTGTTAAATAAATTGGTGACACTATTGTAACTAGAATTTTCACAACTTAGCCCCCCAACTAGGAATGTTCTTAATCGTACCTTTGCTATCCGCAATCTGACAAAATTCTCCACTTAACAAAAATACCTCAACCTTCATCTTCATAAAATATTGTGAGAAATAGGAAACCGTTTTTTCGGTAACGTGCAAAACAAAATATTTGCAAGTTCTTGTAAGTTTGCAAATAAAATTTATGGTTCGTTTATATTAAATTGAAAATCCACATGAAGGTAATTTTGTCTACAATAATGTGCACTCTTTGGCTCCCCACTACACTAGTGATCACCCCACTATTAGCCCGTGAATGGATTTAACTTTAAAAAGTAGTGGAAATTGTGGGGTGGCAAAGGGAGTTAGTCACGGGGGTTAATCGTCCAAATTGGGCTTCAATTGTATGAGAATAAAAACAGTACTATGGTGTGACCCACTAACCACATTGCCACATTCATTTTTTCACTTTATTTAATAACAAAAATATATTGTAATAAATCAGAGAAATTCTTTTGGTTCGTGGAAGAGAAAAAAGCCGACGACTTCTTCAATAAGTGCAAGTTTCATGTGATGTCAAAACCCCACCTAAAACTATTATAAGTGCAAGTTCTCTTTTCAAAATTAATTTTTTATTTGTTATTCATTATATTAGTCAATCGTTATTGGATATAATAAATTTATTATTTTTAAGTTACGTAATTATCTATCAAGTCTAATATATTGTATGAGGTAGTATAATTATTATAACACAAAGAATGAACTAGTTTTAGAGGTGATAAATGTCATTTTAAATAAAAATAAAAATGTAATTTTAAGAAGTAATTAAAAATAGTTTTTTTTTCTGAAAAAAAAAAAATTACTACGATTTTTTCATTTAACAATCGTGTAGGTGTTGTTTAATTACTTGAGGAGGTTTCTACAAATTTATAACTTTATTATTAGATCTAATCTGAAGAAAAGGTTTTATAATAGTGAATCGTCCCTTACAAATTTCCCAAAAATTTAATGACCGGATAATAGAGAAATAAAATGGGTTATAATTAAATAACAAGTTTCAAAATTTTCTAGTGGATACTCTACAATGCACCTCTTGGGGACAGCCTAAATCCGAATACGTACACTCCACAATTGACTTCCCTTTTAAGTGCGGGCAACGTGCGACTCACTTTAAGAAAATATTCAATGTACTCTTTATATTAATGAGGATATATTTTTTTCTGAATAAAAGATAAACTAAAAGTTTAATTACCTAAATGTATTTTTCACTACTTTTTGCGTACCTACCTTTTATGGGTTATACTAATTTTAGTAATTTATTAATAATAATGATAAATGAAATGAAAATATATAAACCCAATAATTAGGTATACAACGAGAAATTTTTTTTTGCACTTTTATTTTTCCACAAAACAATAGATTGCGACATGTAATATTTAGGTCAATTGTTGACAATGGTGTGTAACCCATATTCTTGCTACAAACAGGATAAAGAAGAGACTCACCACACTTTCCAATTCTTGTTAAAGTTAGTAATTTACAATTGAAAAAAGTTACTTGGTAAAATTTGTTTTACAACATTTTTATGACAACATGACTGTGACATCTTAATATAAAATATACATATCAAATAAAGATGGAAAAAACTTCATGTACAATTTTTTTTGTATAACATTTCACGACAGTATGATGTGGGATGATGTGGTTGGTTAAAATGTAAATTAATATTAAGCACATCAGAAAGTAGTCCACATTCTTTCACGAGCCTAATATATAAATAGATGCCCTTTTGGCAAACCAAATTCACATATATTCACAAAACTGCACTTTATGGAACTCCCAACAATTCTTACAAGTTCTCAGGCAAGTAACTGTTTCTTTGGGTAAAAATTAAATCTCTTCATTTCATGCCAAAAACACACGACGAAATCATGAATTTCATGTTTCCAAACTTTTGTCTGTGAATTGTGTGCAGACGATAATTCACGCAGTACTCATTCTCGGTGTCACGATTTCGCTGAGATTAAACTCAGTATGGGGACGCCATTTGCACCACACAGATTACTTGGACTATTGTGCGGTTAACTGTAGGGCTTACGGTGCATCGCTGACGGATTTCGGAGGCGTGGGAGATGGGACAACTTTGAACACGAGAGCTTTCCAGGCGGCCATCGATTATCTGAGCCTGTTTGAACCCTACGGAGGATCGATGCTGTTTGTTCCTCCGGGAAATTGGCTGACCGGAAGCTTCAACATCACCACAAGCCATTTCACACTTTATCTCCATAAAGATGCTGTTCTTCTTGCTTCTCAGGTCCCACCCCTTTTTTTGGCAATATTTGTTTGCTGTTAAAACATAAAAGTAACAATTTGGCCATATTTCAACAGGTAGTTGCTCTGTTTGTGGGTTCATTACAAATTAACATTTTTATGGAGAAAAGGAGGGAGTACTAATGATGAATTATTCAGAATCACTAAAAAAAAGCCTGCTAATTTTGTTATAATTACCTGATGAAGGATGAAAATGACTATGCTGTAATAGAACCTCTGCCGTCGTACGGCCGAGGAAGGGATACAGAGGGAGGTAGATACATCAGTCTCATCTTCGGTACCAACTTAACTGATGTTATCATTACAGGTATTGTTGTAATATAAGAGATATAGCTCTGAAGAAAAATTCGGCAAAGAAGGCGGACGAATGATCCGATTATTTATTTTCAGGAAACAATGGCACGATCGATGGTCAGGGTGCGCCCTGGTGGGACAAGTTTCACAAGGGAGAGTTACTGTACACCAGACCTTACCTGATTGAGATAATGTTCTCTGAGGATGTTCAGATATCGAACTTGACCCTCCTCAACTCACCTTCGTGGCACGTCCATCCCGTCTATTGCAGCAATGTCATCGTGCAATGGCTCACGATTCTTGCTCCCGTATCCGTCCCAAACACCGACGGTATCAATCCAGGTATTACCGACGTTCTTTTAAAAACGATCACGTACGATATATTTAGCTACTCTCTTTTTTTTTTTTTCACAACTACAAAACTGCAGATTCGTGCACGAACACCCGGATCGACGACTGCTACATCGTCTCTGGCGACGACTGCATCGCGGTCAAGAGCGGGTGGGACGAGTACGGCATCTCGTTCGCCATGCCGACAAAACACCTGTCGATCCGACGGCTGACGTGCGTCTCCCCCTCGAGCGCCGTCATCGCGCTCGGGAGCGAGATGTCTGGCGGCATCGAGGACGTCCGCGCGGAGGACATCGCCGCCGTAAACTCCGAGTCGGGCGTTCGAATCAAGACGTCTCGTGGGCGGGGCGGTTACGTGCGCGACGTCTACGTACGCCGCGTGACCATGAAAACCATGAAGTGGGCCTTTTGGATGACGGGAAATTACGGGTCCCACCCAGACGACAAGTACGACCCGAACGCGCTTCCCGAGATCAAGAATATTAACTTTAGGGATGTGGTGGCGGAGAACGTTACGATGGCGGCGAGGTTGGAAGGGATAGCGGGAGATCCTTTCAAGGGGATATGTTTGTCGAACGTGACGGTTGGGATGGCGAAAAAGGCGAAGAAGGTGTTTTGGAATTGCACGGATGTCGAGGGGGTGTCGAGTGGGGTGGTCCCGAGGCCGTGCCCGGAGCTTGAGGGTAGGGGTACGGAAGGGGATTTGGTGTGTGATTTTCCGGCGGAGGGTTTGCCGATCGAGAGTGTTGAGGTTCGAACGTGTTCGTATCAGAGGAAGTATTCGAAGGGTGAGCGCACGGTGAACAAGCATTTGTTGTAGCAGTTGGCATTGGTTGCTGTTGTTGTGAAGCTTATTTCTTAAGTTGTGTGATTGAGAAGGTGTGACTTGAAGTTTAAATGATGTGTGGCAGTTGCCATTGTGTGTCTGCACTGCAGAATAGAACTTTGCTATTTCCCAAACTTAATTGAACTCAGTACAAGTAGATTGCTGTCAAAATTAGAGCCTGGTTTATCAATATGAAAAAAAGAAGAGCAAAGAATTGTGAAAGTTGAATAAATTAGAGATATATGTAAGAAACTGGATGAATAATATCATGTGCCTTATATTTACTCCATCTTTTTGCAAGAGGGTCTGAATTAAGAGTCAAGAAAATATTACAACACTTAGTATCATATCATGATGCTAACAAGGTCTGAATTAATAAAACATAAACATACATCTGCACTTGCCTTATATCTTTTGAGTCAACACATTAAACATGAAAAAAAAAACAAACAAACAAACAAAAAAACAAAAAAACACACACACATTAAACATGAAAGGTTATAAATACGTAGGAAATCTGAAATTTGTACATAAACATGATCAGTGAACTGACTAGGGATTGAATACAAGTGACTCTTTCCAAATTAGCTCCTTAACGTTTTCTTCGGTTATGGATGGCTGCTCGAAATCAAAGCTGAAAGGCGTGGAGCAAATTGGCTCGTCGTTTAGATCATGAAGAGTGGACAAGTATGGATGACATAGGGCATCATCAACTGCACGATCCGTAAATTCCATCCATGTCAGCAGAATTTTTAAAAAGTGAAAGAAAAAATGAAAGGAAAGATCAGAACATAAACGCTAAATTGTTGTTAAATAAGCATTCTTTGTCGTTACCATTTATTCTTTGGTTGGGGTCAAAGACGAGCATCTTTCCAAGTAAATCCAGGGCCAATGGAGACATATTTGGAAATCTTGTGGAGAAATTTTGTTTGGGGAAAACGGGGAGCTGCTTCACATATCTTCGGGCATTATCACTTCTTAGAAATTTAAGGCTTGTTTCATCTGGTGTGCCTAAAAGCTTTCAGGAACAAGAGAAAGCAAGTGTTACACGATATGCACCGAAAAAAAAAACACAAGCGAACTTCGCTAGAATAGAACTCTACGCCATACCGTTAATTTCCCTCAAACATTTTCCTCACCAATGCATAGACTCAGAAAAAAGTAAAGTAAGAAATATAATAAGAAGTTTACCTCTGTAATGAGCTTGAGTTGATGGACATAATCCTTTCCTGGGAAAATAGGTTCTCTGGTCATTATTTCGGCAAGGATGCAACCAACTGACCACACATCGATTGCAGCAGTGTACTCTGAGCAATTAAGAAGCAATTCAGGCGCTCGGTACCAACGTGTAACGACATATTCAGTCATGAAATCAGTTTCAGATGTTGTCCTAGCCAACCCGAAATCTCCAATCTTAAGGTCACAATTTGCTTTCAGAAACAAATTGCTCGGCTTAAGGTCACGGTGCAAAACTTTTGCTGAGTGTATGTATTTCAGTCCTCTTAACAGCTGATAGATGAAGTACTGCAAATAGTAACAGCAGTCAGTTATTATGCCCATCCAATTCCAAATTTTGTAATAAAAGAAAGGTGAATGATTGAAATTTTGTTTCCCTGTTTCACGAATGAAGCAAAGTAGACATAATAATGTAGGAAAATGGGATAAATGCCATGTTTCCGAAAAATGAATAGGGACTAGAATTCAAAAAAACTCAGCATTAGCAGCAAAATCTATGACATCTCCAACTGGTTATTCGAAAACCTCATGTCCATAAATTAAATTATTTTGGATAATGCCACTTTCCAAGTGATCTTGGTAGATTGGTTGTTTGAGTAAATCAGTGGTTTAAAGACCATTGATTTATTTTATTGGTTGGAAGATCATGTGATTCTTGAAAAATATGATATAAATACGCTGCATGCTACCGTAAAAATAGTTATCATGGTTGTGATAGAGAACATGGATTCATGCACTATTCGTATTGAAATAGCCATTCTAAGTAGATCGCCTGCATTAAACTGCAAGGGAGAAAGAGGAACTTTAGGGTGATTCTTACTTCGTGACAGTTAACTGTTTGCTACATCCAGCAGATGTTTTCACATATATGGTACCTAACATGATACATTCTGTATAATGTTTTCTGGAGTTGACTTTTTCCAGTTTGACTTTTCCAATCTTATTCTCCACATCATTGTGTAGTTAGATTACTTTACTTGAATCAGGGTCTCGAACCAAATAATTATGATGTGTACGTCAATCATATAAGATGCTCGAAGCATATTGTGATGTTACACTTTCAATAAATTAATCACTAAATGAAGAAGTTAGACCAATTAACCACTCTCTAAATTCTAAAATAGAGTCATCAATACATTCATACCTGACAATGATCATCTGTTAATGCTTGATCAGACCGGATTATCTGATGCAAGTCTGTATCCATCATTTCATAGACTATGTACACATCGATAAAAGCCTCCCTCTTTGGCGGCCTAACAATGTCCTTGATAGCAATAACCTGGGCCAAAATAAAATTTATAAAGAAGGTTAAGTAATGAAAAGGTGGAAAAACAACCGGGAAAAGAAAAAGAGCTTGGCTCTGATTAAGATTTGAAGCATAGAGAATTTAACTAACATTTTCGTGATCCAAGTGGCGCAAGAGTTTAATCTCTCTCAAAGTCCTTTTTGCATCTATTCTGTTATCAAATGCATTGCCGATTTTCTTGATAGCGACCTCCTCATTAGTCTCTTTATTGACAGCAGCACTATCAACAAACAAATGAAAGATAATCATGGGAAAAAAAGACAATCATAACTAACGGAATGTTTGCGAACACTTCTCTGTTTTTTAGAAGACTTGGTTCGGCAAAAGCAACAAGGAGTTGACTGTTGAGAGTCATGAGGTAGTAAAGATTGCAAATAGAAGCTAAAAAATCGACTAACACTTTCAATGTGTTATGTTTTGTGGGAAAAATTCATAACCGATGCATTATAAGAAATTTAAAACGCCTTCATTTCAAATCTGATTTAGTGAAGCAGAATGAGAAACATAGTTGCTAACTTTAAAGGATAAGAATGATTTCTTTTTGGCACTCCACAAATTGCTAAAACATGAGATATTTCGCAATCAATCTAGTCCTTACAGAACAATCAACAGCAAGGACTGCTTAAAAAACCTCTATCCATGCCAAAATAAAAAATGAAAAATGCACTATTTCACGAAACAAAGATCGAATTTTTATCGAATAGGCAATCTTTAAAACGCCAGATATTTGCATAGAGAGAAAAATAAGAACAATAATTTAACATTTTCCAAAGTTGTACTAACCATACAAGACCATAGGCGCCACGACCAAGGGGCCTCAGCGGGGGAACGTATTTACTAGACACCTCAAATAAATTGCCGTAAAGATTGTACCGCGCGTATCTACCGCCGTGAGTTAGCGCCCCGCTCACGTTAGACCCGGTCGAACTCGAACCTGAGCTCCGTTCTTGAGCCATAAAGAAAGAGAGGGAATGGGTTCTCGGGAAACGGCAGAAGGGAACTCACGGCAGGCTGCGTCAGAACGGCGGAGCTCCCGGCGTGCTTGAGCAAAGGGAAGAACGAGGGCAGCTCCGGCGTGCTTGAGCGAGGGGAAGAACGAGGGCGGCGCAATGGGTTCTTGAGATTTGTTGGTTTTGAGATTTTCTTAGGAGTTGGAAATTTGAACATATAGTGGACGCAGTTTGAACTTTTGAAGTTGAACTCACTCTGACGTACAAATGGGGTTTCGAGAAAATTTGAATAATTTTTTACAGTGGACACGGTTTGAACTTTTGAAGTTGAACTCACTCATCCTGACAATTGGGGTTTCGAGAAAATAAATAATCTAATATAATATATATATTTAATATTCTTTATGATAGGTGATATTAACTCGAAATATTGCGTTTAAATTATTTCAAATAAATTAATTATTTATGATTTATGAGCGAAATAATTTTGGTAAAAATCATAGTGTAAGGTATAAATTAATTAATTGAATATATGTCGGCATTGTACTTTAAGTAAAACATATTGCCACGATATTATGCTACAAATAGCATGTTCTGCAATTAATATAACACTAGTACGACATACGGGTTATTTGAAAAAAAAAATTATAAAACATAAAATAATAGAAAAAACACATGTTATCGTATAAAAGTGCAAAAATAGAAAATACCACCTTTTGTTTATAAATATATTAATTGATAAATAATTTAATTTTTTTAATTAATATTAAAAAGATTATTATTGTTATAAAGATAAATATAATTTATTTCTAAATAAGCTTCTGAAGCGTGTGAGCCAGCCATTTAGGCTCAACACATTTTGAAATTATATTAAGGGAGATGAATATCTCTTACGTGCACTTTATAAGCTGCGGTTATTACATTTATGAAATTTAGAACAATCAGATAAATGGCACGCATAAGTGTTAGTGTGAAGGTATAAAATTAATTATAAATCAATAATTTGTATGAATACAAAATCAAAATAAATATTTAAAAATATGAATTCGTGCATAATAAACTTTTTTATAGATAATTTTTTAGATAACTTTATAGATAACTTTTTTTGAATAAATATTTGAAAATATGAATTCATGCATAATAAACTTTTTTATAGATAACGTTTTTAGATAACTTTATAGATAACTTTTTTTGATAATATTTTTGTGAATAAATTTGAAATATTTTATAATTGTCTTGATAATCATAGAATTGAATTTGTTATTTTTTATACATTATAAATCAAATTTTTATACATAATAAACTAAGTTGTTGTAGTTATATTTTTATATGTAGGGTAAATTTATTAAAAAATAATATAAATTGACATTCTAGATAATCGAGATTATGAATATGTAGTGTAAATTTATTATAAAAAATAATATAACATTGACATTCTAGACATGAATATGTAGAGTAAATTTATTAAAAAAATTATAATCGAGATTATGAATATAGTTATTGTAGTATTTATTAAAAAAATAAAATATATTAAGCAATATGGATAATAAAAATATATCATAACCCAAAATATATTATAATATTGGTATAGGATTTTTAACCCGTGTAATTAAGCAAAAATATATTATAATATTTGCAAAAAAATCTATTTACACGGCATATAAGAATCCAAATTAAGCAAAAAATTCTATTTACACGGCATATAAGAATCCTATTCTATTTATTTTGGAGTTGGAGGGGATCGGATTAAGTAAAAATAATATGGATAGTAAAAATATATTATAATATTGGTATAAGATTCTTAACCCGTGTAATTAAGCAAAAATATACTATAATATTAAGCAAAAAAGTCTATTTACACGGCATATAAGAATTCTATTTATCCGAACCAAAACCCGAAGCATGTAATATTGCCAAATAAACTTCCGAAGCGTGTGAGCCAGCCATTTAGGCTCAACACGTTTTGAAATTATAGTAAGGGAGGATATGATTAAAATATTAAAAAATATTTTTACAATAAAAAAATTGACTCATTGTTTATTTACAATTTAAAAAATGGGTCGAACACGTATATATTTTAATCCAATAAACACTATTTTATACATGAATTATTGATGCTGTTTCATTTTTGAAACATGTTATATCATTGAAAATATTGTTGGTATTTTATAAAATATAATGATAGTCAAATAGATTATTTTATTCCCATAGTATTGATGTATACAAAGGACGATCCAAAAGTTCATTGAAATATCCTATCTAACATATATTATTTAATTTAGAATATAAATGGCACATTTTTTGTTCTGTGCAAATTGTATAATTGAATATACTGTTGCTAATTAAAAAAAAAAAAAGAAAAAAAAATATTGTTGGGATTTTTAAAAATCTAAACGATATTATAATATATTTAAATGTGAATTTTTTATATTATTAAATTTTATTATGTTTACATTTTTTGCTTAGAAAATAAAGTAACAAGAGATTAATATTATATTATATATTCTTAAATAAGAAAGTTAAAAAAATAATTATTTCATTAACCCTAATTGTGTGGCTCCTGAATAACTTGCCGCAAGCCGCAACCCCACGTCTCATGTAAAATATGTTCCCTCCTTTTTTTTTTTATGTAATCACGAAATCTATTCCCTCCAATTCGGAGTTTACCTCCATCCACTTCATTATCTCTTAATGCTTAAATGTTAAAATCGAATTGAAAAAAAATAAAATTACAAGCACCAAATCGATTGGCCTTCTTGTACTCGTCTCTCTCATGCCTTCTGTTTCTACACAACCTGATGCCCTCTGTTTCTACTACACTATTTCACCTTTTTCTGCTCGCAATCTCATGCCTACTCGCAGACAGACTTGCATCTCCTCAAGTAAGAACTTTACTCAACTCCAAAATTAAGTATATCTACAAAAAGTTGGGGGTTAAGGGTTAAAATAATTTTTTTCTCAAAAGAAAAATTATAAAAACACAAACGGTTCATGCTCCAGAATATGATAAGCTTCTTTCTTTCTTTCCTTTTTTTTTTGGTTGTTGTTCTATTCCCCTTAATTTTAGATAAAAGGAAAACGGATAACTTTCTGCTTAAATTTATCTTTTTTGGTGACAAGTTGTTTTAGAAACCCGTGGTTAAAATTAATATTTGTGTGTTGTGCTTTCATTTTTAATCAAACGGATAACTCTGTGAATTGATTTTCGACATCTTGTGTCCTTTCAATATCTGTATCTGATTGCATTGAGGAATTTCTTATCATATATATAATAATGATGTGTGTATGTCTCTTTTTCCTTTGCTTGCTCATCAATTGATGCCCACACATTTGGATATCTTACAACTTATTTTCCAACTGTTTATATTTTGAGTATATAGCTCTACCTGCAATTAAAATTTCCAAAAGGTCGAACAATGGTTACAATTGTTATTTCTTCTCATAATTGTTAATGTGTAACTTCTTAGGGAAAGATGTGGCTAGCCCAGAAAAAATTCATACCTGAAATGACCACTGAAGCCTCACAAGTTTGTCCTCAAGATAAAGTTGCTACAGAGCAATCAGGGAACATAATTACCATTGGTAAACTTATTACTCATCCCTATATAATGATTTTTTTTTACATAAATAAGTATTAAAGTATTGTCCATGCAATTTATATTATTATTATTTTTTTAAAAATATATAGCTTAACACTTATAAATGTCATAAATTCTTATAGGAACATCTAAAGGAAAGGTGTAAGACTACTAGTGGAAAGTTGGACATAGTCATCCATCCAATTCAAAATCGAATAGTTGGTAAAAATGCCAGGCACTTCAAGACCGAGGCCATTGTTATTAAACAACATGCACCACTTAAACTATGTCCGTTGGAAAGAAATTCCACTGGATATTAAAATGAAGATGTGGCTAGCAATGAAGGTATTTATAACATGTTATACAGCATCTAATTATTCAAAGAATTAGAACACTTATTCTTTTAGCAGCAGGAAATAACTATTCTAAAACAGATGAATCTTGATAACAATGCTTGTGAAACTTATTATTGTATGCTATAACAATTCAAAAAAAGATCACACATCAACACAGTATGTCTTATGAAACTTAGCATGGTATTTCAGTGGATAATGTATTTGTGCTGGAAGCTAGAATACTCATTATAGCATACTAGTTTAAAAGAGAATCATTGCTTGGACAAGAATAGTATTTTTATTTTTTTATTTTTTTTACTAGTGAAAGTTTGATAGTGCTATCTATATGAGTTTTGTATACAATACTGGAAGAAATGAATACATTGGTTTTGTTAGTAATTTCAATCTCTTTTTCAAAGCTAAATCTAGATTGATGCTTAACATAACTTTGTCAATATGATTAACTCTTCCTCTTGTCAAGTATTTCAGTTGGTATTTGTAAGGCATTCATATAATTTACACAGTATGCATATTTCTACATGTTAAAGTGGCCAAATTAGACTGTCTTTTATTTTATTTTCTCCACTTCTACTTATTTGCATCTATATTCTTGTTAAATGACTCTACTTTGCAGAAAAAGTTTAATCTTGGTGATGACATGGAAGTTAAGAAAGTGGTCTTTGAACAAATGAATAGTCGAAGTTATCGGCAGGAAAACCTCCAGGTTCAATGAAGTGATTGGCCAATCTTGGTGAAATTTTTGTAGGGTAATGATGCGTTCAAGATAAGGAAGTTTGACTAATTTTACTAATCTTCACTCGTTTAATAGTTCGTTTAGTAGTTAACTATGGACCGTATATGAATATATTTCTCACTACTAAAGTATCTTTCTTCTTCCTAATTCATGATGTTAGATATCTTTCATAAGAATGGAAAAAAAGAAGTTTGGCAAAGAGATAAAAAAGTTTACATTCTTAAAGTTTTGCATAAATTTATATTCAATGTTTCTCATGCCTTTTATTTATTCTTTTATAATTTAATGTAGCATACTAGTGAAAGGAACAAACAAAATAGGCAAAAGTTGATGATGGCCCATACATGCGGGAGAAAATCAAGTGCACAATATTTCTATGAAGAGGTAACATTTTTTTAGTTAAACCAACATACTCAAGATAAGGAAAATATGTATAGATTAATTCACATTTAGTTGTCTTCAAAATTATATTGTAGATACATGCTTTCATGTTATTATAGTATTTGTGAATCAAATACGGTAATTTACACATGTCTATTCTACTAAATTATTTAGGATAAATACTCGTGAAAATTTATTATATTATTTTTTAATTATATTTATTTTTTTATTTTGAAACTAACATGATTTTTTTGTAGCGTGATCTTGTAACTAATGAAGAACCGTCAAGAACATTAACTTGGAGAAAAACTAGGTACAATAAGAAGAAAAGAGTGGGTGAGTGGGTGGACTAACCTTCACGAGAATTGCTTGCAACACTAAATTAAATACTTTAGGAGGAGATTATCTAATTGCAAAGTGAAGTAAATAAAGATGGTAATTATATCATGAGTGAAGATGAAACTTTCATCAAAGTATTTGGAGAGAAGAAACATATTCGACCACGTGGTTGTGGAGACGGCTTGAAACTTCTTTTCAAAATAGGGTAGGGAATTAATGAGGAGTTCCAAAAGAAAATGAAGAACTAATGAAGCAAAGTGAAGATATGGTTTCACGGTTGCATTCTATGGAAATCTAACTAAGCAATCAAGAAGTTCAAGTGCAAGCTCAAGTTGCAACTCAAGTTCAAGATATTCTTAGCTCTCAACTTCCACAATGCTTCAAAATCTTGGTTAGATAAGCCAACTTCCAACATCTTAATGTAAGTAATGTTTATATGAATGAGTTATTTTATTGGTGTTGATTATTATTGTACAATCAACAAAAAATCTTGCTGTTGATTGGATAATAACAATCAACACTAATAAAATAACTCATTCATATAAGCTATAGACGTTGGAAGTTGGCTTATTTGACCAAGATTTTGAAGCATTGTGTGAAGTTGGGATCTAAGAATATCTTGCACTTGAGTTGCAAATTAAGCTTGCACTTGAACTTCTTGATTGCTCAGTTGAGTTTCCAAGGACTGTAATCGTGAAGCCATCTCTTTACTTTGCTTCTTTAGTTTTCTTTTTCGCAAATCCTCATTGAATCTGTGCCCATTTTGTAAAGAGGTTTCAAGTCGTCTCCACAACCATGTAGTTAGTTAAGTTCCTCATGTCCAAGTACTTTGATGAAAGTTTCACTCATGATATAGTTAACATCTTCATTTACTTCACTTTGCAATCGAATAATCTCCTCCTAAAGTATTTAATTTAGTGTTACAAACTATACTTTGAAGAAAAGTACTTTTCCAATATTAAGGACAAACTCACATAAACTTCTCGTGAAGGTTCGTCCACCCACTATTTTGTCTTCTTACTGTATCTAGTTTTTCTCCAAGTTGATGTTATTGACTGACGGTTCTTCATTAGTTACAATGTCACACTAACAAAAAAATTCATGTTAGATTCAAAAAATAAAAAGAAATATAATTAAAAAGTAGTATAGTAAATTCTCACGAGTATTTATTCTAAATAATTTAGTAGAATAGACATGTGTGAATTAACATATTCAAGTCACAAATACTATAATAACATGGAAGCACAGATCTAAAACATAATTTTGAGGATGAGTAAATATGAGTTGATCCATACACATTTTCCTTATCCTTGAGTATGTTGGTTTAACTAAATAATTATTAGAAATTTTTGCCTCTTCATAGCAATATTGTGCAATAGATTTGTTCCGCATGTATGGGTCATCTTCAACTTTTGCCTATTTTGCTTGTTCCTTTCACTAAGGCATGAGAAACATTGAATATAAATTTATGCAAAACTTTTAGAGTGTAACTTTTTTTTTATCTCTTTGCCAACTTCTTTTTTCTCTTCTTCTGAAAGGATTTTAACATCATGAATTAGGAAGAGAAAAGATACACTAGTAGTGAGAAATATATTCATACAGTCCATAGTTAACTACTAAACGAGTGAAGATTAGTAAAATTAGTCAAACTTTCTACCGTGTGATTAGGCTAAGGACGTCTGTTAGGTCGAGAGAAGTAGGATAAATGTCCTCATCCTCCTCTCTTTTTCCATTGTTAATAAGTCTTGTTGAATAGAAAGACTGCGTCGTCCATACTCTCTTTTTTTTTTTTTTTTTTTTTTTTTTTTTANTCTCTAGGGCATATAATCTTCCCTTCTGCAGATAATTTGTCTAAGTTGACTGGAGATACTCGCTGGTAAAAATAAAGTTATATGTTGAAGTCGTATGAGGAGGGTAGTTAACCACGAGTTCTTCCTTCACCGCTTAAAATTCTATTGCGTTTCTAGTTAGAGCTTGGTGCTTGACTCGACTAAATTATACAAACTATATCTATATAAATATAGATATAGATTTATTTTTATTTGATTTCCAATTTCATGTGGTTGTCCAGAGATAATGTTTATACTGTACAGTTTTGCCCGGACCCCTATTCATTTACTTCCTCCCTATTCTATGGGTTTGATTCAAAAAGGTAGTGTTTGTAAAGTTACTAGATTCAGTCTAGCAACAATGTCAGTGATATTTTTCCTTGCTTCTCAATCACAACATCCAATGCAACTTCTCTAATGGGCACTCAAACAACTCCAAAATTGTCCCTAAATTGAACCAAAAGGAAGATAAGTAAACAACAGTTCTTTATCAAACTGAAACATGAAACAAATGAAATAACTCACCACCAAGTATACTTCCTTTCTCCTACTGTAACAATGTAATAACAAAAAGAGCACGAAGACAATTCCCGGCTCCAGCCCCTTCTGTCCACCACAAGCTCTGGTACAAAAAAATTACCAACATTCTGCAATACTAAACTAGGTATTCATTGCACAACACTACAGTCATCTTCCCCAATAAATCCCATTCTTCATAAAGAGTCACCAATAACCAAGTAATTAGATACACTGACAATATCACAAAGCCCAGTAACATAAAGCACCAAACATAGCACAACACATTCAAGCGCTCCAATACATCATCGCAATCCAAAATGGTATCACAGCAATCAAAACGAAAATTATAGAAGAAATCCGCATTCAACCGCTGTAATAAAGGAAAGTAAACGAGTAAACAACCAAGGTGAAAATAACCCAAATCCTACAATGTACTAATCCCCTCATGCCATTATCTTCGCTGACCTTGCATAAAGGCTATCCTCATCCAGCTGGCCCGCTTTGCGTACGACAAATCCTGTAAAAGGTTGTTGAAATTCCCAATGATAACAGATATAAATATTCTCGCATTCAATACTACGTTTAATATCACCCGAACTGAAAAAAAACAATTTAGACTGACCTGGTCACCTGTCTTACTCAACTTCCTCATATTGTTTCTCTTCGTTTAATGAACACTCTCTTCACGAAAACACCCACATTAGTCCTCCCGATCAAGCATCATTAAATCCACTTTAAACACATTTAACTCGTTAGTCAAATCCGTTTGACAACAGAACTACAGTCAAACAAGCTACATAACCAAACTACTATAACAATTAGCTATAACTCTACGAACTAATTACCAACTGTCATCGTGGGCCAAATTTCTAATATTCATTTCAGACAAATAACCAAAGGCCAAAAAGGATCTGTCATACTCTTTTCCTCATTGAGCCAGTCATCAACTCAAACCAAAACAAGAAGGAATTGATAAATCGAAAACACAATACAGCCGATCAAATAACACATGTTTACTGGGCTGTTTCTAAATAAAATATGACTCCCTCAATTAAGGTACCAGGAATTCACATCAAACAGAATCTTAATTAGCTACTACCAACAAGGACAATGCATATGGTAATAAAAGAAATAATATAAAAGTCAAGCAGTGCCAAGCTCACCTCGTGTTGTAGTTCTGCCCGATGGTCGGTTTTGGATTGTATGGTGGCCGGTTCGGTCCTTTNATTGGATGGCTTGTGAGAGCATCAGAAGTAAGAGGTGTTTAAGGAGAAGTTTATAGGAGGGTGGCCATTTATGTGTTCGACTGGCAGCAAAAGATGTATGTCGACTCCAAGGACCGAACGCCAGAATTGGGGGGACGAAAGCAGTGGAGCCAGCAAGAGACGAATGTCGGTGCCTTTTTCTTCTGGAACGTTCTTGTCGAGCGAGAGGCCTACGTGAGCGTTAGAAGAAGGACGAAGTTCACCCTTTTTTTCCGGAAGTTCTTGCCGAGCGAGTGGATTAAGAGATTGGGAGGATTAGAATCATATTGAATTGGAGGAAGATGATGATCGAATTCCTTTCAAACCCTTTTTCAGTTAGGGGCGTATTAGTAATTGATTATTTGGTACTAATTAAATTTATTTACTGTATTTTTTGGGTCAAAGGTCAAGGTTAATCTTATATAGTTATATGGAATAATTTCCACTTAAGTAACATGGTGCATACCAAAACTGCCCTTGTTTTGAAAACGTCGTCGTAAAAGGTGAAGCATTTATCCTCGTCTTTATTCATATGACGATATGGTATGGTAGTCGTCGAACAGATAAACATATGGTTTTGGCTATTGAGGCGAGCATCCCTTTTGTACACTGTACCTCCAGCTTAACCTTTAGCTGATATAGCAGTTACCGTCAAAAAGCGGCGGGCCCGGCGGAGGTGGCGGAGGAGCCGCCGGCAATATTCATTGCGTTTTCGCTTCATAATTGCGAAAACCCAAAATGAAAGAGTTCGCTCTGCACTACAATCTTCCACTCCCTCCATCCACGAAGCTCAAAACCCACCACCCGTGCCAAGACCATGCTCGTTTTCAATTACTCACAAGGAGAACTCGGTATCCCGTGAATTACTGCAACGCCACCGGCGGCCATGGCAGGACACGAATTGCCCCACTTGAGACAGAAGTACACGAATTCGAAGAGAAATCATTCTTTATGGGAACTGACGATGACGAAGAGTTCGAGGAGGATGAAGCCACGTCGTCATCGTCAGAGTTTCTATCTCTGAGCGCGAAGCCCGACAGGAACTTGGCGTTGATGGACGAAATGGATTTGTTACCCGAATGCGACCCGAATCACCGGAGCGGGTTCGTGGCGGTTGTGGGCAAACCCAATGTGGGGAAGAGCACGCTGTCCAATCAAATGCTTGGCCAGAAATTATCGATTGTCACGGATAAGCCCCAGACCACACGACACCGTATTCTTGCTATCTGCTCCGATACGGATTATCAGGTTTGTCCACTTTTGCCCCTTTTTTTGTTATTAGTGCTATGGATTTGGCAGATATTGTGATAGCTGAGTAATTGATCGATGGTTGATGGTTGGTTTGCTTGTGATGTTTGTCTTCTTAGTGCTGGTTGTGTTGTCTGACTGACTGTTGTTGGCTATGTGGAATCGGAAATTTTGTGAAATAGTGGTATAAATTGTTTTGCTTGTGTGTAAAATCAAACCGGAAAAACAATTAGATGTATTAAGTACCACTAATTCGAAATCAAAAGTTGTGGTTTGGTAGATAATACTCTATGATACTCCGGGAGTTATTGAGAACAAAATGCACAAGTTGGACTCAATGATGATGAAGAATGTCCGAAGTGCCGCCATCAATGCAGACTGTGTTATTGTTGTTGTAGATGCTACTAAGGCACCTGAAAAGGTATTTCTATCATTTTTTTTTAAGTCATCTTTGTCGTCTATGATTAACAGTACTCAATCTCATCGCAGATTGATGAAATGCTGGGAGAAGGAGTTGGGGAACTCAAAGATATCCCCACCGTACTTGTTTTGAACAAGAAGGACCTTATCAAACCCGGTGAAATCGCAAAGAAGATTCAGGTACAAAAAAATCTGATTCTCCTTCTTATGTCGGGTACCTATGATATCTGTACAAAAATGATTTGTTGACCGATTGTTATTATGGCTTTGATGCTTAACCTGTGTAGTCAATGTTCTTATGGAATAATGGTGCAGACTAATATTTATTCTGGGACATTTTTAATTGCACTACCTCAAACTATGACATTACTGTGAGTTTATTGTGCTATTTTTCTTTTTTTTTTTTTTTTTTTTTTTCTTTCAGTAGGATACCGAACATTTAGTGATGCCTTTTGTTGTCCATGTTCGGTGTTGTAGTTTCCAACTATGGTCTAATAATTTTCCGAAACTGGAAGTGTAATTTTTCTTCTTCTTTTTCTTGTTTTGTTATTTTGTTTTTGCAGTGGTACGAGAAGTTTACGGATGTAGATGAGGTAATACCTGTGAGTGCCAAATATGGCCATGGGGTGGAAGACATAAAAGAGTGGATTCTGTCAAAACTTCCGTTAGGACCAGCTTATTATCCTAAGGTGTATATAATGATTCGATAATGGTTACATACGAGAAGCTACCTTCTTCGAAAAATTTGAAAAAAATATGGTTTCGGAAAGTTTTGTCTTCCCTTCACAATTAAGTCTTACATCTAAATCGAGATGGTTATATATTTACCTTCAGGATATTGCTAGCGAGCACCCTGAAAGATTTTTTGTGGCAGAAATTGTCCGAGAAAAGATCTTTATGCAATACCGCCAGGAAGTCCCTTATGCATGCCAGGTAAAGCTGTAATGAATGTGAAATAATACCCAAAAAATACAAAAGGGAAACATAACTGCAAATTCTTCAAACTTTATCTTAATCTTTCTCTTACCCGACAGGTTAACGTGGTTAGTTATAAAAGTAGACCAAACGCAAAAGATTTCATCCAGGTTGAGATTATTGTGGAGAGGGACTCTCAGAAGGCTATACTTATTGGAAAGGTAATATCTGTTCTCAACTTCTCATTCTTAAAAACATGAAAAATTTTCTATATCTGTATAGTTTTTATTCTGATGATTTTGTTGAGATGGAGGTTAGTAAATACCTTGTTATCGTTAGGTTTCAAGATGGAAACCGTTTTCAAGTTTGTTTAAATTTAATTTCTGTTTAGTTCATTGCTATTCCTTCCGTTGAAAGTCTTAAAAAAAATAAAAAAATAAAAAAATGAGTTAACTAACATAAGTGAATATGCCATATTTCATATATACTGCAGTGAAAGAGAAAATCACCACTCTTTCAACGAAACATTTTCCATCCGTTTTCTAATCTCCTAATGCCTACACATATACCTCAAGGGGTAAACTTAACAGTATCAATCAAGTCATTAAAGTCTGCTTTCTGGTGTGTTCTTACTTCTTAGTGATTGTTTTAACACTGGAAATAATTCACAAAACTCCAGGAACAAAAAAATATAAATTTAAACGAACTCAGTTTTTGGTTCTTATGCCCACATGAGCAACTTAATCTGTGCTTGATTATTATCAGGAAGGAAAAGCTTTAAAGCTACTATCAACAGCATCTCGGCTCGATATCGAGGATTTCTTGCAGAAGAAAGTATTCCTTGCGGTATGAATTATGCTGATCATTAGTCATACTGTAGACATTGTTAAACCTTTTCTTTTCCCTTCTGTTGATTTCTTCAAAAAATGCAAAGTAACACACCAGTTGAGCTTATGCAGATTGATGTGAATGTTAAAGAAAAATGGCGAGAAAATGAAGATCTCCTTAAATTCTATGGATATGGAGGCGAAATTCAAGTTTTATGACATTTGATTTTTACCAGTGGGTGCTGCCATTGAGGCAACATCAACGTACCTTGGAAATTACTGTTTGCCATTTTTCTTTACTCTTGTTAGTTGTTGTGGAATACTGTATATTGTCAGCAAAAGGTGTTTAGTTAAAGAATTGAGATTTTGTTGGGCACATATGCTTGCTCTAATTGAAGATGGACTTCAAGCAGAATATGTGGAGAGGGTCAGTTCAGCATTTGACATTTTGTTCTCACTATTCGAATGATTAATCACTGTACATGCAACATGGATTTGGTTTATTTACATTTGTCCTACTTTCATGGAATCTGGCCACTGGAAGATTGATAAATGTAAATGCTCTTAATCTATATTTGTCTGAAATTTTGTAAATATTATTTACT